GTACTTAGAGAACATGTAGTTTTTAGTGATTTTCCTTAGACAACACAACTGTTTACATAGCATTTACATTTCACTAGGAATATAACTAATCTAGAGTTTATTTAAGGTGAATGGGAAGGCTGTGTAGGTTATAGGGAAATACTACGCTGTTCATTTATTTGTTTGCTTACTAATTAATTTTTTTTTTGGTACCAGGGTTCAAACTTGGAACCTTGCGCTTGCAAGGCAGGTGGCGAAACTACTGAGCTAAATCCCCAGCCCACTAATTAATTATGAGACAGAGTCTCACTATGTAGTTCAGGCTGGCTTTGAACTCACTATATAACCCAGGCTGGACTTGAACTTGGGGCATCCTCCTGCCTCAGCCTCCTGAGTGCTGGGATTTCAGGGGTGCACCACCACATCAGGCTAATGCTTTAAATAAGGGACTTAAGCATCCTCAGATTTTGGCAGCAGCAGGAAATGGGTCCTAAAAGGGATCCCGCACAGATACTGAATGACAACTGACCGACAAAGCACTTCCCAGATGCACCACTGGCTCCACTCCACAGAGGCTCTGAGGCCCGGCCCTGTACCCAGGACCTTCTCATGGAGATGGGAGTCAGCTCTCACTGGCAGACACCTAGCAGCTCACAGAAAAATGCTCCACATTATTACCCACCTGGGAACCGCAAATCAAACCAGTTGTGATAGCAGTTCATATCCAGTGGGATAACAATAATTAAAATGATAGATTCTAAGAAGGGTTGCCAAGGATGTGGAGAAATTGGAACCCTTGTATACTGCTGCTGGGAATGTAAAATGGTGCAGCTGCTTTAGAAAGTAGTCCAGCAGTTCCTAAAAAAGTTAAAGGTAAGAGTTACCATATGACCCAGCAATTCCACTGCTAGGGATTAAATACTCCAGAGGATTTCAAACATATGCCTGCACAAAGGCTTGTACAGAAATGCTCATAGCTTAATTTCTAAGAAGGGGAACATGGAAACAGCCCACTTACCCATCAACTGGTAAGTGGATAAACAAAAGGTAGTATATTCAAGGAACACTATTGAGCAATAAGAAGAAATGAAGTACTACTACAAGCCACGGCATGGATGAACCTTGAACACATTATGTTAAGTGAAAGAAGCCAGATATACAAGGCCACACATCGCATGATTCCAATGAAAGATCCCAAATAGCCAATCTATAGACAGAAAGTAGTTTTCAGGTGCTTGGGCTGGGAGGACTGTCAGAGGCACTGGAAGGGACTCTAAGGGTCCAGGAGTGTCTTTGGGAGTGATAGGTTTGGGACAGTGGTGATGGTTATATAACTTCTTTTTTATATATATAACTTCTAAATACCATGGAATTGTACACTTTTATACGGTGAATTGTATGCCAGGTGATATATATATTGTGTGTGTATTATATTTTAAAGAGAAAAATGGCATAGGAATAGGGGTATGACCTAAGATCCTTTATAATCATCTAAACTAAAATTTTCCCCAATCACTAGAACAGATACATATCGCTTTAGTCAAAACAGGAACTTCTTTGTGGTGTCATTCCTTTGTATGCATTACCAAGCATATTTATTTTGAAGCAAAACATTTATTGGCACATTTTAGAAACACATAATGATCGCATTCATCATAGGGAATTATCTTTTTTTTCCCCATTCCCACCCTTAAACCCCTCTTCCCTTTATTTATAAAAGCTTTGTTTCCATTTTTTCCTTCTATTTTCTCCTTTTTTTCTTGTCTCATCTTTCCTCTCCCCCTCCCCCCTCCATTGTTGCCCTTCTCATTTGAACATTTTCTTCCCATTTCCCAATATCTATGATACATCTTGGTCCTTATTTCACTTTTGGTTTCTCACACCAGAGAAATAGTGGCATTTAAACATGCCAATTTATTTCATTTGAGTATGGTCTCAAGGTGCATCCATTTAGCTATAAATGTCTCAAGCTTATCATTCTTTATGGCAGAGTAGCACTCCATTGTCTAAAAAACGTATTTTCTTTATCCATTCATCAGTTAATTGGCATTTGGGCTGTTTCTAAGATTTAGCTATTACACACTGTGGGGCTATAAACATAGGTATGCATATATCACTGTGGTATGAAACTTTTAATTCTTTAGGGAGGATACCAAAAAGGGGAACAGCTGGCCTGAATGGAACCACAAGTTTTAGTTGAGAAAGGTCCACTCTGACTTCCACAGGGGTTGCACCAGTCTATACTCCCAACAGTGAAGAAGGGTTCCTTTTCCCCCACAGCCTCTCTACCACGTTATTGGTCAATTTCTTGATAACAGCCATTCTTTCTGGAGATGGAATTTCAGTGTTTTAATTTGTATCTCTCAAATAACCAGTGATGTCGAACATTTTTTTCATATATTTATTTGCTGTTTCTACTTCTTCATCTATTCATTTCAGATGGCCATTTTCGGATTGGGTCTTTAAATTTCAGGGGTCTGATTATTTTAAGTTCTTTATATATTCTATACTTGATCTTAGCCAAAAGGCCGAGAAGCGATCTCTATATATTCTAGATATTAGTCCTTTGAAGAACAGCTGGCCAAAATTTTTTCTCACATTATGTGTTGTTTCTTCACTCTGTTGGTTTCTCTTGCTGTGTAAAAGCTTTTTAATAAGATGAGGTCCCAGTTGTTGACTCATTGTGATGTATCAGTGCAATCAGGGTTTTGTTCAGTCTTTGCCTACACCAATGTCTTCAAGAGTTCTACCTAACCTATCTTCCAGCATTTAGTATTTGTTAATATTTAGATATTTGATCCATTTTGGTTTTAGTTTAGTGCATGGTGAAAGATATGGATCTAGTTTTAATCTTTGCCATGTGGAAAGCCAGTTTTTCTAGCACCATTTATTAAAGAGGCTATCTTTCTTCCAGTGAAGGTGTTTGGCTCCTTTGTCAAAGATAAGGTGGTTGAATATGTTTGGAGTTGTTTCTGTATCTTCTAATCTGTTCCTTTGATCCTTGGATCTGGCTATTTTTTGTTGGGTTTTTTTGCCAGTATCATGTTTTTATCACAATAGCTTTGTAGTATAATTTCAAGTCAAGGATTGTGATCCCCCCCTACCCTGCCATTGTTGCCCAGAATTGCTTTTGCTATTATAGGTCTCTTCTGGTTTCAAATGAATTTTAGAATTGTTTTCTCTAATTCTATGAAATATGCTATTGGGATTTTGATCCAGGAGTGCATTAAATCTGTGTAATGATTTTAGAAGCATAGCCATTTTCACTATATTGGTTCTTTCTACCCAAGAACAAGGGATATCTTTCCAAAGGGGGTTTTCTCTTTTTTCTGTGTGTTATTCATGTACAAGGTTATTAATTTTTGAGTGTTGATGTGTGCTCACAGAGGCACTATGGACCAAGGCACCCTCTCCTGGGCCATGCAGCCTGCTGAGTATGCTGCAGCCCTGCTGGACATATTCCCTGAAGAGCTGCCACAGGACTGAGCCTTGGTAGGCCCTGACACTAGCTCCTGTCATGTAGGCACCAGCACCAAGGCAGCCGTCCAGTATGTAGACAGAGAGAAGGGGAAACCTCCAACAGGGGCTGTAAATGCTCAGGCTCTTCACACCAAGCCTTGGAGTAGCCTGGCAGAAACTGGGACACTGATGTGAGCCTGGCCTGGCTATTCCAGAGATCATCCAGGTGGTAGCATAAGAAATATCCTGGGGGCTTGGGTGTGGTGGCACACGCCTGTGATCCCAGCACCTGGGAGGCTGAGGCAGAAGGGTAACCCGGAGTTTGTGGTCAGCCTGGGCTACATAGTGACTATTTCAACCAAAAAAACCAGAATTTGGTAAAAGGTTACTTCTGTGTTTATTTCTGTGGTGCTGAGGATTGAATCCAGGACTTTTGCACTCACCTACATCCCCAGCGCTTTTTAGTTTTTTGAATTTTGAGACACGGCCTTGCTGAGCTGCTCAGGTTGGGCTCAAACTTGTGACCCTCTTGCCTCAGCCTCTACGTGCTGGCATTGGTTAACTGTAACAAGAGCACTTAAGGGGATGGAAGCAAGCCTAGTGTGAAGTGGCTTATGTGAATAAAAATGGATTCAATCAATAAATGGCTAGATGAAAATACTCCAATGATTCCCCTTGGTTTGTTCATATTGAAGGTTAAGTCAGTAGTCATTGCAGAAATGGGATATTCATTTTTCCTGCACCAAAGAATTAGAGAATCAAAAGGAAGCTATACAGAAGAGCCCTGAAAACTTCAGTTGCTGCACAAAGTTTTCCATCAATCATGGAGCAACCCCAGATTACCCTAGTTCAGGCCCCACACAAGGTACCCCATCCTGTTTCTGCCACATTCTGCATCAATGCAGGTAGCTGCCAGACTACTCCTCGTTCCTGAAAGTGTTTCCTGTCCTCTTTTAGGTAAACACCTGCTAGGCGTTCCTGAAATTAACACCTGTAGGCACATTGCTCCTATTTTTGCTTCAACTGTCAGAAAAGGCAATCAAATCAACTACCCATATGCCATCAATTCAGAGAAGGGGAAATCCCTAGCCGAGGGTGTAAATATTTAGATCTCTTGTGTCAAAATTTTCCTTTTAGTCCATTTGGTTGTCTGAGACAGGGTCTCCCTGTGTAGCCCAGGGTGCTGGAACTCCCAGGGATGCTCCTGAGTGCAGGGACATGGTGGTATGTAGCAATGCCCGGCTTTTACTTCTTTCACAAGAATGTTGCTGTTTTACACTTACGTAGTTACCAATTCCAAATTTCTGACTAGTGAGCAGCCAAACCGCACACATGCACTTACAGTGCTCCAGTTACTCCTTTGCTTTCATTTCCTTCTGGGGCAGTGTCAGGCTCCCTCCACGTTCTCCCCCACTCTCCTCACCTAGTGACTCTCCTAGTCTGCATTTTCTTACTGTATCTTGCACTTTCTCTTTATAGTACTCATAGTAATTATTTAAATAAGAGTGGCAAACATTTTTAAATTTAGAAATTTATTGTTTAATCCACAAGCTTCATATAGCTTTAGTTTAAAAAAAAAACAAAAAAACAAAAACAGTGAAACCAAGACACTATTTCAAAGTCCGGGCCCTTCCAGCTTCCAATACAAGAGCTCTGAACATTATATATCTGAATTGGAAAAATAAGACAAAAATATGAATGGAGCCATGACATTTCAGCAAACAAAAATTTCATGTAGCTGAAGGATCCTTCCTGGGAGGAATTAACTGTCTTTACAAGGGGGGAGGGGCAGGAGGCAGGGGGCTGCTGGGGGAGTGGGGGTGGGGGACAGGACCCGAACAGGATGGAATCAAATTCCACTGTTCCGAATCAACTTGTTACACATCCATATAAACCTAGTGTCCTGGAAAACATGCTTTCATTTTTCTGTCTCATCCTAGAGCTCAAATCCTGATTTATTTCAGCAGCAATTCCACAGGCAACAGGAAAGATCGCGGCATTAGAATATTCATTTATACTTTTGTGGTACCTTCAACAGTGGTCTTATTTCTGGACAAGCTTACAAACCATACAAGGTTGGAAGCACAACTTAAATGGGCATGAAGACTCAAATGATTAAAAAAAAACAAAGTAAAGATAAAAGAAAAGGGGGAAAAATGAGGGGGGGAAGCCCCCCTAGGAATAGCCAGGGGCATTTAAAGAAACCATAAGAATGCCAACAATACTTAAACCCCTTTTTTAAAAAAAGAGATTTTTTTTTGGCTTAAAATATTTTACTCTAAATGAATTTATGTCAGCTCTCATGAAAGAATGTCACTAATACACTGTGGACACCTTTTGCAATGTAAATCCATGCCCCCCCTTTTTTTTACACGGTGAACCTCAACCTAGCAATTATTACAACAAATGTTATAGTCTAAAGCTCAAACACATTTTAGCAATTTTGAAATTGAATTGAGTACAAACCAAGTAAAATTTACATCCTAACAAACGTTTCCACCTAGGACTGTGGGGACACTTGAGCCTTCCGCATGGATCTCAGAGCCTTTTCCCGCAGGTGCTTCTCTAAGTCATCAAGGTTATCTTCAGCTTCACTTTCGGTCTCCTAAAAAAACCAGAAAAACCCAGGATGGTTGTCAGGGTGTTAAGTCTTGAGATACCAGTGGGAGACGCTGAGTCAAGAGCAGAATCAAACTGTGGTGGTGAGCATACAACTTGGAATATACTAAAAATCAATGAACTGTATGCTTTAAATGGGTGAATTTATTTCACAGACGTTACTTAAAAAATGTAGCTGGGAGGGCCAGGGATTTAGCTCAGTGGTGCCGCCGCCTGCCTCGCAAGCGCAAGGTCCCAAGTTCGATCCCCGGTACCAAAAATAAATAAGTAAATAAAATAAAAATAGAGATGGGGGGTATAACTGAGTGATACTCAATTAAGTATGTACTTAGAATGAGCACGCCCCTAGTTGATCCCCGACATCAAAAATATCAAAAAATAAAACTGATCACATTGAGCTTTCTGGCAGCCCTCTTTGTTCTTATCCTTGGCCCCAACAAATTCTTGTTTTTGGTAGGTCATCAAGAAATAGATTGTAATATGGCTGCCAGGGAGCCGAGGATTAGAAAAACTGATTTACCAGCTATTTCTCAAAATCAAATGATTTCACTCAGCGTATAAACAGTGAGACAAAATGTGCAGTCTGTAAATACCTTCTTCGGCTCTGTGGCTGCCTCGGTTTCTTCCTGTGCTGATGTGGTTGTGGCAGCAATGGCTGCGGGGGTTATAGGAGCCCCAGCGGCTGCAGCAGCAGCCTTTTCCTTCTTGTGTTTTTTGTGCTTCTTGTGTTTCTTATCCTTTTTGTGTTTCTTGTCCTTCTTTTTCTTCTTTTTCTTCCCACCTCCTTCTTGATCTGAATTCTAGAAATCCAGAAGGAAAATATAATCAATCTGATTAAAACTCTGTTCAATTGAACATTTTATTTCCTCAAGGGAATAATAGACAAAACTCCAAATTCCACAGAGGCTTCAGGGTAGGAAAAAAGATATAAGGCCAGTTGCCACCAAGAAAACTATTCCTAGAGGGCCAGGGATTTAGCTCAGTGGTGCCACCACCTGCCTCTCAAGCGCAAAGTCCTGAGTTCAATCCCCAGTACCAAAAAAAAAAAAAAAAAACAACTATTCCTAGAGATGAGAAACACTTGAAAGCTAACATATACTCCATATACAGTATTCTAAGAATAGTAAATGGCTTGAGGATAACTGATTCCTACAATTTTCCCCAACTAAATTTGTATTAAGCCACATTTCCCCACTTTATGTGAACCAGGTCACCAGGAATGGAGCCAAGGGCCAACTTCAGATAAGGTGACTTCCACCTCCTGAACGTGAAGATTAGGCGGGAATATCTTCTCAATCACTGACAATACTCACCTATCCCACAGAAGGCTTTTACTATGGTCCCCATTAGCCTAACACATGCCTGTATAAATGTCACATCACCATCTGACTTCACCTATCTTTACAGTGGAGATGGGTCTGTTCATCTTTACTGCACATAAATGTTCCTCTATTTTTGATGGGGTTACATCTCAATAAACCTTGTAATCCTACTGTAAGGTGAAAATATACAACCAAAAAAATATACTCAAAACACTATATGGTTTTCACACTCAATGTAAACTAAAAATTCTAAACTGAACCATCCTAAGTCAGGAACTGTATACCAAATTTATGCAAAATACTGTTATAATCTCATTTTAGTTTTTTAGTGCTAGGGATCCCCTATTAACTCTTTAAATTTCACCTAAGACATTGCTTAAGATCCTTCACAATCCAGTTAGCTTGTACAATTCAGTCAACTAAACCACTGTCTACACAATATAGAAACCTGTTCAAGACCAGTTTTATGACTTATGTAGGGAAAAACACTAACCCCAGTGTTTTAATATTCTAGCTCAATACCTCTGCTTCAAAATGACCATATACAAATTTACAAAGGCTGTCCAAAACAAGGTAGATACACACCCTGGCTGGTGATGGGCTTGGCGTTGGGCTTTTAGCCTTTTTGACTGGCACCGCTGGTGACCAGTTTGTAGAGGGTGACTGAGACTGGACAGGGGATGGAGGTGCTGGGGGCTTTTTAGCTGCTGGCTCAGGAGATCCAGAGACAGAACGAGAGGAGGAAACCCTTCTTACAGACTGTGGACTTGGTGAGGCAGCCCTAGATGCAGAGGAGAAAAAGTAACAGTACTGAGAAGAGACTTCCATTCCTCAAGAAAAGAATCAACCACAATTCACTATATAATCAAGTCACCACCTCTGAATTTTTTATAGCATTTAGTTTGCCAGTTATTTCTACTAACTTTGACTGAGCTACATCCCGAGCCCTTTTTTATTTTGAGACAGGGTCTCACTAAGTCACTAAATTTCCCAAGGCCGGGCTTGGACTTATAATCCTATTGCCTCCACCTCCCAGTGCGCTAGGATTACAGGTATTGCCATTAAGCCTGGCTCACATATTAAATATACATCACGTAAGTACTGAGTCCTACAATCTTCTACTCAATTCTATTCATGATGTTACCTGTATGAAATCAGCAAAGCCAATTCTTTTTTTTTTTCTGGTACCGGGGATCAAACTCAGTACCTTGCATTTGCGAGGCAGGCGGTAGCACCACTGAGCTAAATTCCCAGCAAGTAAAGCCAATTCTTTACATTTCACTTAACACTGGTTTTATCTCTATCAGACCCACATACAGGAACTGGTTGTTTTGGAAGCATACCTCTCAAAAAACCTGATACTAGTTAAGAACCAGATATTATTCTATGCCATTCAATTTATACCATACAGAACTATTCTCAAAATGGAAAAGAATCTGTGAATATGATCTGAAAGCTGTCTTTTTTTTTTTTGGTACTGGGACAGAACTCGGGTCCTTGTGCTTGCGAGGCAGGCGGCAGAACCACTGAGCTAATAAATCCCGGGCCCAGCTGTCTTTTAATAGTTTATATTCATAGCTTATTACTTCCTGTAACCTCTCAATAAAGGAAGAGAAGTTTCCTCATAAAGAGGCACACAACTAAGTATTCCTAACAAAAAAAGCATGAAATAGTTTTACTTTTTTGTCTTTTTAGGTTCTGGAGTTCTGGAGACTCTTCTAATGGGCCTGGTACTTGGAGATGGGGACTGCCTTCTTTGGGGTGATGCCGATGTTCCTCTTCGAACAGGTGGAGGACTTGAGGTCTGAGGAGCTCGAGGCCGCGGTGAGGGAGAATGCCGTTTGGTTGGTTGTGGTGACCGGGTCTCCCTAGTAGCACGGCTTGGGGAAGACCCTTTCCTATGCTTTGATGAGAGAGAAGGTGAGCGTCTCTTGGCAACTGGGGAGCTTCTTTGTTTGGGAGGTGGAGAGGGGGAGACCCGGCGCTTTGGTGGTGGGGATGGCGATGCCCTTCTCTTAGGAGGGGGTGGGGGCGAAGCCGTTCTTCTCTTTGGAGGTGGAGAAGGAGAGTACCTCCTCTGTATGGGAGGAGAGTATCTTCTCGGGGAAGGTGAGCGCCGACGAGGGGGAGGAGAGGGAGTCCTAGGAAAAACACACATCATTAAGCTGAATGGCCCAACAGGATCAGGACAATGAAAGCAGAAAACCAGAGTAAACAATAGTTATGGCTATCCTGCAGCTAGTACTGGGCTAACGGAGTGTATTTCTAAGTGGACACACCATACTTTTATTCTCATTTAGAGAAAAAAAAAAACAAAACCAAAGGAAAATCTTTGCTTATCTCGGATAACTATGTCTTCTACTTAATGGGAGGAATTTGTGAGCCTTAGAATCAGCTGTCATCATATAACTACTATGTAACTGCAGCAGCTGGACTCCAGTGACACTGGCCAACTCATTCAGGAAGTCTTTGCTCTAAATGGCTATCCTATGTGGTGACATCTTTGAACTGGCATCTGGGTTCTGTATTAATAATCAAGAGCTCACTGCACAAGCTTTAAAGATACTTCTACTTCCTTTCAAAGAGAAATGTCCCACTTTGTCTCAAAAGATCACTTTTCAATGGAAGCCAAGCAGTAGGCACAATATTACCTCCGTAAAAGCCCAACCTGGCCTTCCTTGTAATGTGTAATTCTGACACACCCCTGATGTACCTTAGGAATCAAGACTAAAACACAGCATTAGGCCCAATCTTGCAGACGTCCAGCTCAAAATAAATCCCTACCCATAATCAGAACAACAATAAGACAGTTTTGGAGGAATGTTGTAGAATATATTTTCACTGTTCCACCTGGGTGATTAGTAACTGCAAACCTCAGTTTCTTGACCTGAAAAATGGGAATAACAAGCTACTTGAGAACTACAGGTAAAGTTTCTAAGGCACCTAACACTGCCTGGCACATACAAGTGAAGATTTTGTACAAAACCATGTAAATATCTATTTAAAAAAAGATATAAAAACTGTAAAATTATCCTCAGTACTTAGTATTAATCAAAATACCAATATTGGCCCTATTTTCCACTAGTGTCCTTTCTCTGTTCTAGGATCCTAGATCTCCTTAAGTGCCTACCACTGCCATTCCCCATTCCCACCCCACCCCCTACACCACTAATCTTCTTTCCATTTCTAGAGATTTCTATGTTTTGGGCTTTTCATAAATGGAATCATTCATATAAAAGTAAGCAACTCTAATAAGAGTCAGTCCTGCCATAGTTTCCGAGCTGCTCCACTGGCATCTGCAAGTACCTCCGTCGAGGTGGTGGTGTGGGAGATCTGCGCCGCCGAGGAGGAGGAGCTGGAGAAGGAGATCGGCGTCTTCTGGTGGGGGGAGGGGAGGGACTTCTCCTCCGTCTACTACTAAACCAAACAATTACAGTTGCTTTTGAGTCAGTGGTATTTAATTAAGTGCCCCAGAAAAACAAACTTTTAGTTATTATTACTTTTTTTCAAACTATAGGTCAAGACTCTAGGTAGGCGTCAACATTTTAAAAAACAAAAATTAGTGTTCCATCTGTGTTAACGATACATATTGTTTTGTGAAAAAAATTAGACAAGGTTCTTATTTGTTCCTTTTTAATTAGGACGCACACTGTAATCACCTGAGAAACCGAGATTTTGCCTACCAGGTCTGTTTAAGTACAGCCAAGTGGTTTTTTTCTGTTTGTTTGTTTTTTGCAGTACCGGGGACCAAACTCAGAACCTTGCACTTGCAAGGCAGGTGTGGCGCCACTGAGCTAAATCCCCAGCCCCAGCCAGGTGTTTTTTGAAAAGACTTTCCAGGTGATTCTTACTCCTTGGTGGGAACTACTGATTTAGTCTCTAATACAAAAATTTAAAATGTTAATAGCTGCCAGGACTTTAAGACCCAAATCTGGGGGTCCCTGCTACAAGTTCTTAATGTTTAAAAATGTCTCCATTGTTCAAGTTGTAAACAATTTCCTAAAAACAATATTCTGAAGACAAATGACCAAAGCAATTACAGAAACAAACCTATCCTGGGGGCAATGCGGTTAAAATACAGTTGAAACAGAAACCAAAAAGAACAAAATAAAGTCGAGATGCCAGGTATGGTGGCATACACTTGTAATCCCAGCACTCTGGGAGGCTGAGGCAGAAGGATCACCAAGTTCAAGCTCAGCTTGGGCAACTTAGCCCTGCTCAAAATAAGAGAGGCTGGACATATAGCTCACTAGGAAGGCTGTGGTTCAATCCCAACTACCACACACATACACAAAAAGTTTAATTCTGAGCTCTCTTATACATTCAACCAATACAAATGGCACACCAGATAGATAAGAGTATGCCAACAGCAGCCTCAAGACAGACTTATTCAAATACAGTGATTCAAGAATTTAATTTGTTCTATAATTTTGGAAAAGATGGCCACATTTGTGTGTGTGGAAAAGATGACCACAGTTGTGTCTGTCACCTGATGCAGAGTTTGTAAACAAAATTTTGCCAGAGGGCTGGTGAGTAGGCTGGGATTAAAAAAAATTTTATTGGGCCAGGGATTTAGCTCAGTGGTTTCACCGCCTGCTGCAGGCGCAAAACCTGAGTTCGATCCCCAGTACTAAAAAAAAAAAAAAAATTTTATTAAAAAAACCCCAAAAAACCCCCCAAAAAACAAACTCCCAAATTTTGCCAAATGCTTGTTTGTTTGTTGTTTGCAAACAATAGCATTCATGAACCAAGATACCACATGTACCTGTCACCTTTTAGGTAAGTTAACATATACAAATAAATTTTTAATTTTTTTTGCTTAGAACAGGATAATGCTTCTTATGGAATCAGTTTCAAAAATTTGCTAGGTCAGGCTGGGGATTTAGCTCCGTGGTTCCACCACCTGCCTCACAAGCACAAGGTCCCGAATTTGATTCCCGGTACTAAACAAACAAAAAGAGAAAAGAAACTCTTGGTTTCTCTTTGAAACTAAGGAAGCCAGGCAAGGTGCTGCACACCTATAATGCTGGCACTGAGGAGGCTGAGGCAGGAGGATCACCGAAAGTTCAGGACAGCCTGAACTGTATAGCAAGATCCTGTCTCAAAAAAACTCAACCACCAGACAAACAAAAAAACCAAAACAGGTCCTGTTTCCCTTTCTAAAATGATACTGAACTTCTGGTTCAAATAATTTTTCTCTAAACCTTAGACAACTGATGCAATTTCTAGTAAGGACTGAATTTGAATCTATAACTAAAAATAGTTCTGAGCCAGGGTCTCCCTATGTAGTTCAGGCTGGCCCTAAACTCACTATGTAGTCCAGGCTGGCCTCAAACTTGCAGCAATCCTGGTTCAGCCTCCTGAGTGCTGGAATTACAGGCATGTGCCACCGATGCCCAGTGTAAATATAGTTTTAAAAATGAGAACCAAACAAAAACACACTGAAGCAAGGCAATGAACATTAGTTTTGATTTCACAGTTGTGAGGAATCTCTTTCCAGAATAGGAAGTAACTTCATAATGGGGAAAGAAATGAAAGAAAATTGTACCAGTAAGCTAATTTTGTAAAGCAATTTTTAGTTATTCGCAATTTCACAGAAGCCAGAGGTCACTGTGGCTGGGAAAAAAGAATATTGTAGCATCCAATTTACCTTTTTAAGGTTTTTATTTTATCAAAACACCTTCCTCTACAACATAAATACGCAGCTTTGTTCCATCACAAACACTGCTCTTACTGGCTCCAGGAGAGCCTTTCCAAGAAAGCACTTTCATGAATGAGATTACCTAAATGAGGCATCTTTAAAATCTGAGGTAGAGAGAGGACTGGGGGAAGTAGACAGCTCTTGCCTAGTATGTATGAGGCCCTGAGTTTGATGCCCAGCGCTGCACCAAAAAAGAGGTAAGTTTCAGCAAGGATATGTACTAGATAGGAGTATCCTGAATGTGAAAATCCCAAATGCTCCAAAATCTGAAACCTTCTGAGTAGTTATTATACTCAAAAGTTTTAGATTTCACATTTTTGGATTAAGGATGCTCAACTGGAAGTCTATGCAAATAACCCAAAATCTGAACTACCTCTGACTCCCAGCATTTTGGATAACAGATAGTCAAACTCTACTTAGAAATTTACTGGCAACTAATGCCCCTCAAAGCAGAAATCTGATTCAGACAGACTACTATGTATAATGCCAAAAGTACAAGTCTAATTCCTGGCTTTTAGGTGTAGTGGCGCACACATGTGATCCCAGCACTTGGGAAGTTGAGGTCAGCACGGGCTACAGAGTGAGATCCTGCCTCAAAACAAACAAACACAAAAGTTTAAGATCTGGCCTTGTCAGTTTGTGACCCTAAGAAACTCACTTTACCACAGTCAGATCCATTTTCTCACTTATGAGAGGCCTGAAATTTGGCTCTGAAATGTTATATACAGTCACAATACATAACAAATGATGAAAAGTTTCAAATGACATGCAACCTCCCTTTCTACTACTGGAAAGCCTGAATACAGCTGAAATCTTACCTTCACTTCTAGTATTTTTAAAGTTTCTTCATAAAAGTTTCCTGCTTTCTCTGAAAGTCACCACAAATACAAAGTCTCTCCCCATTAAATCTAAGGGGTTTAGATTTCCTAGTCTTGGAAACACCTAAACGCCGCTAAAACTATGTGTACTTCTTGATGTAATTTGAAGCAATTACCACAAGAGTAACTAGATATTCAAATTTTAAATCTAAGTTCAAATGATGTTCTGAAATGAACATCTACACACAATTCTCCCTTATCATTAATCAGACATGCTAAGAATATGCAAATCAAGACAACTTTGAAATTTCTCCACAGCCATTCTAAGAATGGGATCTGGCCACCTATTTCAGAAACTGAATCACTAACTTTTAGTATGTAACCCTAATTTACAAAGTAGTATCTAACCAACCTTTTAGTCACTGGCGATTGCCATCGCTTTCCCATCTGCATCCTGAGAGCAGTGGAGAAAAACAAATGTCAAGAATTCCATTCACTAAATTATTTACTTCAATGGAGTTAAACCTCACTGATGGGCAGATTTTTAAGTTTTCAAAGATACTCAGGAGTTAATGCTATTATTACACGAGTGGTTTATTCTCCTAGTCATATATATAAGTGTTTCAAACTTAACAAGCTCTTATTCAATGCTATTAACTCCCAACAAAGGAAAACAAAGACCCCAAAAAATAAAAACCCAAGCAAAACCTGACTTCTCAGTGAACCAAATTCTAAAATAACCCTGAAGCCCACCCTTTAAGTTATGAACTTTCATCATAGCTATGTAATATCAGCAAAAACCACTAAACAAAAGTCATTACCGAGGGGAAGTCTCTTTTTGGCGCTTTCGTGGTGACGGAGATGCACTCCGGGAAGGGGAATGTCTCCGCCGCCTCCCGACCTCACCATTTTTCACATGGGATCGCTTGGGTCGCTCATCTTCAGAGGAAGAGGAGGAGCCAGAGTCTACAATCACACAGTAAAGAAAAATGTTACATGACATCTGTGCTTAACAGCACCCATCCAACTTTTTTGAGTCTAGTGTTAATGTAGACAATCCATCAGTTTTGGACAAGCACGGTATCAATACTGCTCAATGACTTCAAACCAAGCCAATGTAAATATTCAGGAGCCTACAAAATAAATCATTTCCACAGAACAATCTAATCAAGATGATAGTATATGAGCATTTCTTTTTAATTTTTTGAGACAGCGTCTCACTATGTAGTCCAGGCTGGCCTCAAACTCACAGTGATCCTCCTGCCTCAGTCTCCCAAGTGCTGGGATTACAGGCATGTGCCACCACACCCGGCCCATAGGTATCTCTTCAAATCTAGTGATTTTCCAAATAACCAAGTAAGAAGGTATCTCAGGGGGCCAGGAATTTAGCTCAGTGGTTCTGTTGCTTGCCCAGCAAGCGCAAGGACCCAAGTTCGAAGCCTGGTACCAAAAAAAAAAGAAGGTATCTCAGGAGATAACCTGATTCTTGTTATCCTATCCTAAGCTCTTAATGCTACTGTGGGAGAGTCTGACCTCCATTCTGTAAATGAAAAGCAAAAGTAGTGCCTACTCATCACAATTACCAAATAAGCTAATAAGAACAGAGCACCTGGATAAAAGAACCAGGTTTCTGTGCAATAGTATTTTTTATTTTTTGAGACAGGATCTCACTGTGCTGTTCAAGGTGACCTTGAACTTAATATGCAGGCCAGGCTGGCCTCGAACTTGTGGTGAACCTCCTGTGCAATACTCCCTAATTATTTTACAGATATATATGCATAAACACACATACAAGCAAAAAAAAAAAACCCCTAGAAAGAACCTTAAAAATTTTTAGAAAGGGCTAGGGATTTAGCTCAGTGGTTCTGCCTGCCTTGCAAAGAAGGTGCAAGGTCCTGAGTTCAACCCCTGGTACCAAAACAAGACAAAACAAAACAAACCCCATATATTATCTGGATGTGCACAAAAACTTTCGGAATAAAAGCTTTTGGTGGATAATACTGGGGGGGGGGCATTAACCCCTCCCTTTTCAAACTGATTATTTTATTGAGACAAGAGTCCACTATGTAGTTCAGGCTGACTGTGAACTTATATGTAGCCCAGGCTGGCCTCAAACTCATGGCAATCCTCCCTCCTCAGCCTCCCAAGGGCTGGGAATACACGTGTGCAACACCAAATGCAGCTAAACTATTTTCTTTTCTTTTGTTTCTTTCCAGGGATCATATTTGGGACCTTGCGCTTGCCAGGCAGGTGCGGTGCCGCTGAGCTACATCCCCAGCCCTAAATTGTTTTCATTTTTAAAACAATTTTGTCCCACTCCAGATTTCTATGTAGGTACAATTATTTCTTGAGTATAATCACTACACACAGTTATCGTTTAAGCATTTATTACTTTAAAATGAAGGCTGAAGAGCTAATCAGCACCATACCAGATGAAGACTGCTGGTTCTGTCGTCTGTACTGGCGTCTCTGCTGCACAGAATCGGCTGCAGCCATTTTGCCGCCTTTATCTTCTTCTGAAAGACAGACCCATTTAGAAAGTGTTTCTTTAGTTATCCATATAGGTAATTTCAATATTTGAACAGAATAATCTCTTAAACCTTTATCTGGCTGGTCAGGCTGAAAATCAAACAGTTAACTGTCAGAAATCTGTATTTTTCCCATTTCAGAGGGAAAAAAATGAACTCAGATGAATGAATTAATTAAATAGGAGTAGTTAAGTGTTAATGCTAGATATTCCAACCAGGTCTGACTTCAGTCTTAGTTCTTCCTCAGTAACCATAACCTAACTAAGCTTTAATCAGAAAACAATGACCAGATATGCAAGGGCAAAATTAACTTAAAAAAAAAGGAAAAAAGTAACAAGACTTACCAGATTCAGATAACTCTACTTTTCTAGGCTTTGGTGCTGGTGATGGTGATTCTCTTTTCTCAGTACCTTTATGTTTTGTCACTAAAAAGTGAAGAAAAAAACACAACGCACTTACACACAATAAGGACAACATCAGATGCCCTTTTTTTTTTGGTACCAGGGACCTTGAGCTTGCAAAGCAGGCAGTGGAACCACTGAGCTAAATCCCCGGGCCAGATGCCTTCTTAATAGTATAAAAATTGGTATGCTGGTTTGTAAAAAGAATTTACTAGGAATTCTCAATATCTCAAGCAGAAGAATTTTTAAATGTTTGGTAAAAAAAAACAGAAATGTCTACAGTGATTCTCAAATCTTGAGATTCTAAAAGAATCAACTGTTAGGAGAAACAGAGCTGTTACAATATAAAACAAGCTTTACACTGCCTATTACACTAAACTCAGGAAAACAAACCTGAGTAGAACTTGAGTACCATAACCTAAAACAAACATACTCAAACTTCAGAGACCCTATCAACATAGAAACTTTCAAAAAAACCCACTACCCCCCCCCCAAAACAAAACAAAAAACCACTCACTATGGTTTCAGAAAAGCAGTAAAGATACACAATAAGCAACTGATAGGCTGGGGGCAGTAGCACCAGTATCTCAGCATTCTGGGAGACTGAGGCAGAAGGAGTAGAAGTTTGAGCCCAAAAGGAGGAATTTACCAATACCTTGTAACAAAATAAAATAGCTATGGATGTAGACCAGTGTAAAGGCTCTGAGTTCAAACACACCCCCACCCAACCGATGAAATTCACAGGAAAAGATACTTGGTCTGAAAAAGACAAATGATCAGCCACCCAAGAACTACAGGCTCTTTATGTAACACAGTGTTCAGAACAGCATGGGAGATTTAAACTAATATCCAGATCATCACAACTGTAAAAATTATTCAAAACCTCCAACACAGCTCTGCATTGAAAGTAGTAGGATTACATGACCTTTTCACTAACTATACGGAAAATTATGGCAACTACCTTTTAAAAGCTTGCTGTATTACACATACTATTAGGTACTGGTTCATAGTATTACATCCTCTTTACTCCTCCAATGTGTAAGAGGAGAAATCTTAGCCCTAAAAAGGAGTAATTTTACCACAGTCATAGTAACAAGTATGTGAGTTAGAATATGAACAGAATGCTTTTATGGCATCAACTTTGATTTCCAACAACTACTATCTCTGCTTATGATATGGTTCCACTGCAACCAAAATGTTATAACCGTTAATCATACCACAGGTTAATTTGAAACACACCCTCTCACAAATCTATAGACAATGGGACACCCTCGGGATTCTGTGTAGCAGTCTTTTGTGACAAATGGAACCACCATGGGTTGTTCAGTCCAGACTGCGGTTGTAACCGGAGAACTGGCAATACAACAGCAACACAGCAATCTCATTTTTGCTAAAATACTCAAATTGGAATTACTTTTCCTATGAAAAGAATTTTATTAATTATCCTACTTAATAAACCATTTGGATAGACCACTGGATTTGGTACAGAATCCCTAGCATCTAATTAGCATGAACTATGAGAGTAGGAATACATCAAAACATGTTACACTTTAGCAAATGCAGAGAAATGAAATAGAAATACTTAAAACATTTTAACTACTAGAGGCTGTTTTATAGTCCATATTCTCTATTTTTAAGTATAACCCTTAATTCCTGTTAAAAAAACCCAAACCAAACAAAAAACCAAACAAACATAGTTATCCATAAAATCAAACATCCAAGTTATCACCTTTGAGAACTAAGTTTCAAAACTTGTTTTGGAAACTGGTTTCCAGATAGAAGAATGCATTTTCCTCTAAGAAATGTTAAAAACATGGTTATGTTTGCAAATAGCTGGTAAATGCCTACTTATCAAATATTGTATGTTTTTTCCAATGGAAAGACATATTTGAAGTTTTATCATTATTAAAGCTTTCATTAATGACTCAGCCCAAACAATAATTATTAATGCTGTTATACAACCAGACAAAAATGCACTATATACTCCTACTTTGGTTTAATATAATAGGCCAGGTGTGGTGGGGCACACCTGTAATCCCAGTATTTGGAGGCTGAGGCAGGAGGATTGCCTCGTGGCCAGCCTAAACTACATAGTGAGACCCTGTCTCAAAAAAAGAAAAAAAAAAAAAAAAAGTAAAAGGGCGGGGGTGTTTAGCTCAGTGGCACTGTGCCTGCTTGGCAAGCTCAAGGTCCTGAGTTCAATCCCTAGTGCTGAAGCGGGGGGGGGGGGGGGGGGGGATTTAATAAAATTTTAAGTTATTATAACATTCCAGATTTTTGTTAATTCTTCTAGATCAGTTTTTACACCACTTAAATTGTTATATTAGGGGGGCCAGGGATATTTAGCTCAGTGGTTCCACCGCCTGCCTCACAAGTGCAAGGTCCCGAGTTTGATCCATGGTACAAAAAAAAACAAATATTATGTTAAGGGTGTTTTATTTATTTATTTTGAGACAGAGCCTCACTATGTGGTTCAGGCTGGCCTCAAACTGGCAGAGATCCTTCTGCCTCAGTCTCCCAAATGCTGGGATTACAGGAGTCTGCCACCACGCCCACCAAAGGTGTTTTAAGTATCCAAAGGGCAAAATTATTCTAACATGAAGTCAGAAAATCAAGTAGGTAACTTGTAAAAAACTAAGTCACGGTGGGACCAGAAACAGTATATTATGTGTCCATACAGCTTTTTTGTTTTGTTTTGTTTGGGACAGGGTCTTGCTATGGTAGTTCAGGCTAGCTTGCATTTGTGGCCGACCTCCTGCCTCAGCCTCCTGAGTGCTGGGTTATAGGCACGTGCCACCACACCTGTCGATAGAGCATATTTAACATAGAAGTTTCTTTATATAAACTCAGAATTACTGCTGCCAAAGGGACAGTCTTTGTGAAACATTTCACTGAATAAAGCACCATTTTATGTGCTAAGACAAAGCCAACTGAACTATGATGTGTTTCAAGAGACCCCTTCTGATGATATTGTACACTGTACTCCAAATAATTTCCCTCCAAGTTATCCTAACTACTTTCCCTTTCCCTCCCACTTCTTTGGCCCACAAACAGCAGAACCTGTGAACCCTGGTAATTCCATGGAATACAAATGTGAAATCTATCACATTTCAATGTCCCACTGTTCCGATATTAAACAGAAACCACAATGAAAGAATTTCTAAAATCATACTTCTAAGCCTCCTTCAGCAATAAGAGGCATTTTTGGTTAGGAAAGCCCCACAAAGTATACATTACATAATGGGATGAGAAGACTTAAATTCTATTCCTGGCTGGCTGGCTTGATCAAGCCACTTAATCTGAGAAACCTGTTGCTTGATAACAATCTCTAAGGTCTTTTTTATTTTTGAATTTCATTAGAGGGCTGGGATCATTTTAATTATAATATAAAAAGTTGTTTCCATAACAAATCGTATTTAACTTCAGAGAACATAGTGCAGCCTCTGACTATACTGCCCTTAGCATGTGTTTGGCAGGGTTTTGTTTGGACATGGAAACTCTGTTTCAGAAACCACAAGAATACATCTAGTGGGCCAGGGGACTTAGCTCAGTGGTTCCGCAGCACAAGGTCCTGAGTTTGATCCCTGGTACAAAAAAATAACTAGTCCCTTGTCCTCCAACATTACTTTTCTCCTATGCATATATCCACTGGCTCTTTGCTAAAAGCATAAGCCAAAATGTAAGAGGTTGGCACCCATGCAACTTCACTCATTTGGTTTTTTGAGACACAGTCTTGCTATGTAGCTCAGAGTGGCCTTGAACTTGTGGCGATCCCCCTACCTCAGCTTCCCAAGTATGGGACCTGTGCAACCTCTTTTAAAAAGATAACCAAAAAAAAAAAAAAAAGATAACCAACAATTCTTAGTAATCATTCTATTTTAACAAAGACTTAGTTTTTCTGTTTAGGTACTTTTATAACCCTCTGGCTATATGATGAAAATGGAAAAATTATAATCTAATGAGCTCTTCCTTCCAAAGCAGTGATAATAGAAACATTTATATTTTTTCCCTAGACAGCTTCCTGGTTCCTGACAAAGGAGATATTCAGAAGTGCAAACTTCACAAAAGACAATAAATCAAGGCAGTGAACATCAGATTTATACATGAATGGAAATCATGAATGGACTGAAATTCCCTAATTTTGAACAAAAAAATAGGGGCGGGGGATTTAGCCCAGTGGTATTGCCACCTGCTTTGCAAGTGCAAGGTCCTGAGTTCGATCCCTGGTACCAAAAAGAGAAAAAAGCCAGAGTCTGAACAAAAAATCCATGAGGCTATACAAAGTGATACTGAGAACCCCCTCCCAAATGTAAATGACCACATCTTATGTATCACCAAATTAACTTCATGTTAAAATTTAAAAAATAGGGGCCGGGGATTTAGCTCAGTGGCTTCTCCACCTGCTGCGCAAGCGCAAGGAACCGAGTTCAATCCCCAGTACCAAAAAAAAAAAAAAAAAATTAAAACATGAAACAAACAGCTGGGCATGGTGGCGCATGCCTATAATCTCAGCCTTTGAGAAGATCCCCACAAGTTCAAGCCCAGCCTGAACTACAGGGAGAACCTATCTCAAAAAACAACCCTCCCCCTAACCAAAAAAAAAAAACAAAAACCCCAAAACACACATTACTTTTTACAGGCAGGTTGCCATTACAGTATTTACTAGTCCTACTTCCATTCTGACAGTTGATCTTGAGGTGGGGTTTAGGGTCTTACTACGTAGTTCAGGTTGGCCTTGAACTCGTGATCCTTTTAACTCAAACTCTCGGGTGCTGGGATTACAGGTATGTGCTACCATGCCTGGCTCTGACAGTTTCTATGCCTTCACCATAACAGAGATCAAAAAAAGTGAAGCAGGGCCGGGGATTCAGCTCAGTGGTTCCGCTGTCTGCCTCGAGAAAGCCCAAGGTCCTGAGTTCAATCCCTGGTACCAAAACGAAACAGTGAAGCAAAGTTTGCCTTTCTAAATATTATCACACTGCATAGTCTGGGGAAAGGAGTGCAGCACGAACACATGGCAGCAGGGTAACTGACTAGAAATTCTGGTCTTGTGAAGCTCATTATACTATTGAAATTTTGCCAAAACTTATTTGCTTGTTTTTAATCTGAAAACTTCAATGTCAACAGGACACTAGCACGCTGACCTACAGATTGCTCTTTAAAATTTAATTACTACTATGGCAGATTTTTAGAGTCCTCCCTTCCCTCATCTTTCAGGCTGTTTATATTATTTCAGCCCAAATCTCCACAGATAATTCAAAAGAATCCTAAAGTTCTTCTCATGTATTTAATGCTAAAAGTAGCGTGAAGACCCTGGGTTCAATCCTTCTTAACACAAACACAAACACACACACACACCAACAAAACCCAGTAGAAAAAAAGCAATGAAGTTCTGCCGCCTGATTCACAAACGCAAGGACCCGAGTTTGATCCTGGAAACCAAAAAAAAAAAAAAGCAACGAAAACAAAACAAAAACCCGTAGAGCACAACCTTCACTCAGACTAAATGGCATTCCACTTGCTTGGCAAGATCACAGATCACAAATTCCTCAGAAATCAATCTACAGAATAAAGGACGAGACTTAGAAGAACCATGCCTAAAGTCTAAATTTAAAGAAAAGCTTTTAAGAGGACACTATGTCTTTCCCTTGGAAACACAATGTAGCCAAAAAAGATTTAAAACAGGATACAAAGTTCTCAAATAAGATATCAAAAGAAAAATCACCGGGGCCTGGGATTTAGCTCAGTGGTGCCACTGCCTGCCTTGAAAGTACAAGGTCCTGAGTTTGATCCCCCATACCAAAAAAGAAAAAGAAAAAGCAACGGTTAACTGGAGCCAATAAAAAAAATGAAATTTTACCAACTTTGATGAGTTACTGCAGCTCAAACAGACTTCTTCTGGGGATATATTTCTCAACATGTTCAATGCCAGACAGCATGTCTAAACACACATAGCTTTTACATGTAAACTCTTAATGAAGCCCAATAATTTAATAAAGGAATGAAAAGGTTAACTTAAAAGCAAACTTACAGGGCCCGGGTTTTAGCTCAGCAGTTTCACCACCTGCTGTGCAAGCACAAGGACCTGAGTTTGATCCCCAGTACCAAAAAAATAAAAAGCAAACTACTTATAAAGAACACGGCCCGGGGATTTAGCTCAGTGGTTTCGCCGCCTGCTACGCAAGCGCAAAGACCCGAGTTGGATCCCTGGTACCAAAAAAAAAAAAAAAACAAAAACCAACTTACAAAGAACATCTCATATAAATTACTGCTCAACGACTTCATATGAAGAGGGCACACTGAGTATATTCTTTGCGGCCTGAGAGAACAGCATTTTTATGTGATTTTTACCTTTACCTGAAGTTCTCCCTGGAGACACAGAAACACGACTTTTTCTTGTACGGTTTGATTGCTGGGGTGTTGGGGAATGACGAGTTTTTGGTGGTGGAGTAGCTGGAGGCGATGGCCTGTGCCTTCGTCTTGGAGGACTCGCTGATGGAGATAACCTACGAGTTTTTCGAGGGGGGCTGGATGTCCTCTTAGGAGGTTTCTTTGGTGGTGACCGGGAACGAGATGAAGATGATGATGAGCTACTCCCAGACAAGGATGCTGATGAACGCCTTCTTCTGTGGAATAAAGTATTCATATTCACAAATTGCATACTTACAAAAACTGTAAAAAAAATAAAATAAAATAAACTGACTGTATGATATGTATAGTTTACACAAAAACATAGCTACTTTTATCCAACTTTTGAGTTTATGTAGCTAAGCACATAAGTGAGTTTTTTAAAAAAAGGGAAACAAAACCAGAACCTACTACAGGAAACAGCTAGTTCTGAGACTAAATAGAAATAACTTATTCTGATAAATGTTTCTGTTTTGAGTTGTCTCTCCAGTTACAGAGCTTGTCAAGTTGAGTGCAATGTAATAGTGAGTAACCAGTCTTTCTTCCTTAGGAATGATATTAGTGCTTTGGAGTTTGCATTCAAAATTTGAGGGGCAATGTATTTTTCATTTAATAACACAATGTTGGGCAACCTTTATTTTGCATTTTTAGAAAAAGTTTCAAAATTAGGAATTCATTTAGCTACATAAACTTAGAAGCAGGGGCCTCTCGAATTCTGCGGCAAAATTTGTGTTAAGTTCTGTTGCAATTATGTGTACCTGCAGAATTCACCTTTGGCAGAAGAATTCCTGAGAACCTGAAAAAAAGAAACCCTACCTTAAGTGTGAGATTAAAAACTGGCTGAAAGGGAATCTTATACAATCTGTAAAATATTTTGACTGCTAAATGGCTTAGTTAATAAGCACAATTAAAACATGCTGTTTGCAAAACTCCAGTATAAGAAATAGCTGTTTCCACTATTTTGTAATAGCATTAGCATTACTTTCTCCTAAGGAGAAGTAATTCAGAAAATTTTAGGAAAAGTGTGATACGTGAAATGACTAACCATTTACATTAGTCTTACCTGTAAGTAGCAAAATCAAGTAATTTTGAATAGTGGTAGTGTTCAATATAACTTGACAACCTCTTCCCAAAGTAAAAAAAAATTTTTTTTGGTTGTATGGAACTCTGAAAAACCTAACTGCAAAAATAAATCTTACTGGGCTGGGGATTTAGCTTAGTGGCACTGCGCCTGCCTTGCAAGTACAAGGTCCTGAGTTCCATTTCCAGTACCAAAAAAACAAACCAAAAATAAATCTTACTGAGGTTATCTGACATTTTTCCTCATTACTTACAAGTTGATTCATTTAACTGAAAAAAATCTTAAAGACTCAAACCTAAAAAAATCTTGTCCAGGGCTGGGGCATGCAGCTCAACGATTATAGTGCATGCTTGGCACACTTGAGACCCTGAGTTCAATCGCCAGCAAAAAAAGTAAAAATACAAATCTGTGCAAAATATAATCTGAAGCTTAGTCATAGTTCCTTTCAAAAACAAGGAACATGCATTATCAAGAAGGCACAAAATCTGCTACCAGTGCACCAGGCCTCTACTTAGATAAACTTGGTCATAATCTTTTTTTTATAGTTGTATGCCCAAGATCAAAACACTGAACCTTTATGGTCAGTGATTTAGGCAAAGGAAAATTGGTACTGGCAGTTATATCTATGAGTAATCTCTTCAAAAATAACCAAACAGCAAACTATTAATAATGGTTATTTATATGAAATGGGATTATATGAAAGTTTCAATTTGTTATTTGTCTACATTGTTTATAATAGTCTTCATTATTCGGACAATGACAAAGACATATTTTTAAAAACAAAAGCACGATAGCAAGAGATTCTTTTAGTTTTTTTTTTTTTTTTTGAGACATGGTCTCACTATGCAGCCCAGGCTGGCCTCAAACTCACAGCAATCCTGTCTCATCCTCCTCAGGCATGTGTCACCATGCCTGGCCAGCATGGATTATTTTTAAATTGGTAAAAGTAGCTGACTTGGCTGTAGTCAGCCACTTTTCAGAAGTTAGTGGCAAGTTAAGTCAAAAGGAAGATGGCCAATTCTCTTACTTGGTAGAATTTAGTGAGGTCCTAAAAGATAAATTAACATAAAGTACCTACAAGATGGTCAATTTGTTTTTTATTTTCAAACACTGCACTAAACATTTTTCACAACTCATACACAGAGCATTACACTTTAACTACAACGGGCTCTTTAGAAAAACAGTAATATCCTGTAAGATCATTCTGCCAGTGATACACTAATTTAAATTTTCCCAAAATAAAGATTATCCTAACAGTGTCAAAATTTTTGACACTTCCAAACTAAAACAAATAACAACAAAACACCTCACCGTCTTACTGGAGATCTACTCCTTCTATGCCTTGGAGGAGGAGGCATTCGTCTTGGTGGAGTTCTTCTTCGAGGAGATGGTCTCCTTCTTGGGCTTGGCCGCCTTCTAGGTGAGTATGATCTGCCATAACAAACACAAGTAGACTGAACAAATGTGGAGCAAAGAATTTCTACACATAGTTTTTTCAATCACTGCATTTTACTTTTTTTCTTTTTGAGATGGGATTTCCCTAGGTGGTTCAGGCTAGCCTCAAACTCACAGTGATCCTTCTGCCTCAGCCCGAGTGCTGAGATTACAGGTATGCATCACCATGCCAGGCCTCAATCACATTTTAAAAATATAATTTTTGTTTGAGATAGGGTCTCACTTATAGCCCTAGATGGCCTTGAACCGTTATCCTCCTGTCTCAGCCTCCTGAGTGCTGGAATTACAGGTATGTGTCACTATGTCTGGCTTAAAACAAAATTTGAAGGGTCACAATTTTTAATTCAGACTCTTATGGTACACAGAAAAACAATGAGTTTATAACTTTCCTATGTAAGTACAAAGAGTAACACCGCTAATTAAATATTTTCTACTATTTTGAAATTAGGAAAGGGCCGGGGATTTAGCTCAGTGGTTCTGCCGCCTGCCTTGTAAACACAAGGTCCCGAGTTTGATCCCCGGTACAAAAAAAAAACAAAAACCCAATGAAATTAGGAGAACAAGCACATTACCATCTAAAATCAGGTTGATCTGAAGACCACAACTCACCTCGATCGGGACCTATGGCGCCGTCTTGGTCGAGTATGAGAAGGAGAGCGAGAACGGGTCCGGGACCTTGATTTGGAACGTGACCGAGATCTTGGCCGGGTCTTTTCCTTTTCTTTCTTGGAATTTTTTTCTGGAGAAGGTTCTTTAGGTTCTGGCATGGGTTCAGGCTTGGGAACTTTTAGGATGTCACTGTGAAAATAAAAGCTTATTTTTTCCTCCTCTTCTACTCAGACTCTTTGGGTTTTTTTTTTCTTTTTGGTACCGGGGATCGAACTCCAGACCATGCGCTTTCAAGGCAGGCACTGGAACCACTTCTACTCAGACTCTTAAGTCTATATAACAATGCAATTACATATTTCTCTTTTTAAAAGGTTCTCAAAATCCAGAAAGAGGGGCTGGGGATTTAGCTCAGTGGTTCTGCCACCTGCCATGAAACCACAAGGGCCTGAGTTCAATCCCCAGTACCAAAAAAAAAAAAAAAATCCAGAAAGACATCTTTCTGGCTCCAAAAGACTTGGCCGGGGATTTAGCTCAGTGGTGCCACCCGCTGCCTTGCAAGCGCAAGGTCCTGAGTTTGATCCCCGCCACCACAAAAAAAGATATATATACTTCAGGAGAAACCAAGGTACGTGTACAAATTCTAGCCATATATATTTTAAAAGTACAAATTCGCGACCAGATCCAAGATGGCGGCCAGCAGGAGGCTGGTGAAGGAGCTTGAAGAGATCCACAAATGTGGAATGAAAAACTTCCATAACATCCAGGTTGATGAAGCTAATTTATTGATTTGGCAAGGGCTTATTGTTCCTGACAACCCTCCATATGATAAGGGGGCCTTTAGAATCAAAATCAACTTTCCAGCAGAGTACCCATTCAAACCACCGAAGATCACATTGAAAACAAAGATCTATCACCCAAACATTGATGAAAAAGGACAGGTTTGCCTGCCAGTAATTAGTGCTGAGAACTGGAAGCCAGAGACCAAGACTGACAAAGTAATCCAATCCCTCATAGCACTGGTGAACAATCCCCAGCCCGAGCACCCCCTCCGGGCTGACCTAGCTGAAGAATACTCTTAAGGACTGTAAAAAATTCTGTAAGAATGCTGAAGAGTTTACAAAGAAATATGGGGAAAAGCGACCTGTGGACTAAAATCTGCCACAAATGATTCCAGCTAGTGTGAGCAGAGACCCCGAACAGTGCATTCAGACACCCCACAAAGCAGGACTCTGTGGAAAATTGACACGTGCCACCACCTGTTCACTTGTGGCAGTTATTAACTTTCTACAGTTTTCTTAATCAAAAGTGATCTAGTAACCTGTAAAGAAAGGATTAAAAATTTCAGATATTCTAAAAAAAAAAAAAAAAAAGTACAAATT